GTGTTCTGTAAATGTAATAATGACCGATGACTGCAGCTTCTGAGCATGCTCGAGATTCCAGAATGAACATTATGCTGCAATCATTTGATCAGATTTAAAAACACACAGAGGGGATATTATCAAAACCTGGAGCAGCCAATCAGCTTCTATCTCTCATTTTCAAATCTTGCCTGAGCACACTGAAGGAGAGATGCGGATTGGTTGCCATGGGCAACTGCTCCAGATTCTGTTTGCTCCAGTTTTGATAAACCCCCACAGCATGTTGCTGCAGTTAAAACATAGGGGTGGAGAAATGAATATGGAGTTCAGGAGCCGGCCTGCCTAATCCAGGTGCCAGTAGCATTTTTTTTTAGGAGCCAGTTCCATTGACAACTAGAGAAAACCTCAAAATGTAGGTCCCAGCAGCAATTTTTAAGGAGAATTGGCGACCTGGCTCCTGGGATTTGCTCAGCCTTGTTTAAAGGGATAACCACACAAAAAAACTGAACTACAGGAGAGTTACCTTTTTATATACTGTAAAGCAGCGGGGAGCCAAACTACAAATCCCATCATCACCCTAACCATCCCCTCTGCTCCTTCCAAAACCTTTTGCTCTCTCATCAACTCCTCCCATGCTCACCTTCAGGTCTTTTCTAGAATCTCTCCCATCCTTTGGAACTCCCCACCCCAATCTGTCCATCTATCTTCTACTCTGCCTTTAGGCGATCCCTTATTACTCATCTCTTCAGGGAAGCCTATCCCACCTCAACCTGACCACTCAACCATCATGTTCTCAAACAATTCAATTCACCCCCACACAGCTACCTCCTCATGTATCACTTGCCCCTCCCTTATAGATTGTAAGCCCTCACGGGCAGGGCCCTCCTTACCATCTTGTCTTGTACTGTAACTAGGGATGCACCAATAGTGGTTCTTCAGTGTCAAGTACCGATATTTCGGTTCTCACCGATAGCGATGCTTCCATGGGAATGGAGCCGGCTTCCCGATTGCCCAGGAAGCCGGCTCCATGTTGTTTGGACGGGAAACCGGCTTCCCACCCAATCAGAATTGAGCTGGTTCCCTCCAACCGGCAGTGCCGTAGGGCCCAGAAGCTGGCTCCATGCTGATTGGCTGGGTAGCCGGGTTTCCAGCCAATCAGCATGGAGCCGGCTTCCCGGCCAATCAGGAAGCCGGGAGGCGGGTCAATACTTGCAGCCCTGCTTCCCAATTGCCCGGGAAGCTGACTCCAAGTTTCCCCTACGACACTCCCGCCCAGAGGGAATCTTCCTCTGACCCGAAGTTGCGGTATTGGGGAAGGTTTCAGAGCATTCGGGCGAGTATGAGTACTCGCCCAAATACTCTGCATCGGTAATGCCTTCCTTATATTGTAAAGTGCTGTGCAGACCGTTGGCACTATAGAAATCCTGTATAATAATAATAATAATAATAAATCATGCCTCTGGGAGTCATGGCTGTCAGAGTCTTGCAATGCTATATGGGACTTGTAGTTCCACAGCAGCTGGAGGACCGAAGTGTACATACCCCTGCCTTAAAGAATGCAATCCAGCACTTTTGAGCAGCAGTTTATACCCAACGCCGATCCCAGGTCCTAGCATAGCTGCCGCATGTACAATAATAAGCATGCCTCTGGGAGTAATGGCTGTCAGTCTTGCAATGCTACATGGGACTTGTAGTTCCACAGCAGTTGGAGGACCGAAGTGTAGATACCCGCCTTAAAGAATGCAATCTAGCAGCAATTTAAACCCAACACCAACCCCTGGTCCTTCCATAGCTGCCGCTCTGCTGCAGACGGACGCCACAATAACCTTTCTGATACTATACAAACGGCACACATCAATGCAAGGTGCCACACGCAATGATTATTCCACATGTCTCATGCATGGTGAACGCTTCTACAACAACAAAGGCCATTGTTACTGCACTGGATGGAGCAGACATGACAGCTTCATTAACCGGTCCCCAGGGACCACACTTCCTGCCCCTCCTCCCGCTGACAGTAACATGTTCCATCCTCAGTCACACGTATATATAAATGTAAGCAGATCATCATCATCACAGCAAATTAAATCCCATAAACTGCGTACAGGTGACCCCCATATCAATGTCATATCACACAGCAACAGACTCGATCCTCCATATCTGCCATTCAGATCGCATCCTGTATATTAAATCATCACACGGGATATGATGTGCGCGGTGAAGAATCATCGGAATCAGGAGAATGACATTAGAAAGGCGAGAGACGTATGTACCTCAAGCAGGATCATGCTTCTAGCGCAGCCTGTGCTCTCAGGATCAAACCAGCCCGCAACGTCACAAGGACCACCCAGGACCAAGCCTCCTCCGAAAATAATGCAGCATGTCCCCCAACAACGCCGTGTTATCCCCACCCCTCCCAGAGCACCCGGATGCACCATGACAACACACCCTGGGATCACATCGGCCTACCAGCAATACACAAAGGACCGTCCGCCAACACAGAACATCACAGGCCACCCTAGGGGCTCCGTCTTTGTTGCATTGCACATCATTCACGCTGTGATCCCGCGGCCTGCCTAATTCTGCATCAGCGCAATGCCCATCAAGTCACCTTGGAGTCTGTCTTCTTTGACGCATCCAATTATAAGGCATCACAGGCCCAATACAATATCAGATCGATTAGAACATCATCATCACATTTCAACCTACAGTAGAGGTAGGCAACCTCAGTATTCCAGCTGTAGTGGAACTACAAGTCCCATGAGGCATCGCAAGATTCTCACAGCCACAGGCATGACTCCCCGGGGCAATGGCATGGTGGGTGTTGTAGTTTCAATACAGCTTGGGTGCCAAGGTTAACTACCCCTGCCATAGAAATGACTCCCGGAGGCAAAGGCATGGTGGGTGTTGTAGTTTTACTACAGCTGGTGTGCCAAGGTTGACTAGCCCTGCCATAGGCATGACTCCCACAGGCAAAAGACATGGTGGGTGTTGTAGTTTCACTACCCCTGCCATAGACATGACTCCAACAGGCAAAGACATAGGGGGTGTTGTAGTTTCACTACAGCTGGTGTGCCAAGGTTGACTACCCCTGCCATAGGCATGACTCCCACAGGCAAAGGCATGGTGGCTGTTGTAGTTTCAATACAGCTTGGGTGCCAAGGTTAACTACCCCTGCCATGGACATGACTCCCAGAGGCAAAGGCATGGTAGGTGTTGTAGTTTTACTACCCCTGCCATAGCCATGACTCCCACAGGCAAAGGCATGGTGGGTGTTGTAGTTTCACTACAGCTTGAGCGCGGAGGTTGACTACCCCTTGCCCTTGAACATGCAGTCGTTATTATAACACAGGAGAGCAACCTTGTCACTCCAGCTGTGGTGAAACTACAAATCCCCTCATCTGTCCCTAGGAGTAATGCCTGTGACTGTCAGAGTCCTGCAATGCCTCATGGGACTATATCTTATACACATTCAGACTACCATAGAGCCTTCCATCCATAATGACATTAGTCCTCTTAAAATTCACAAAGGACCCTCCCTGACTGTATACAAATACACGCTTTGTCCCATCATATGCCACAATAAGCACTAAGTCCCATCACATGCTGCAACTAACTACCATGGATCCTTTATTACATCGCTCCCCTCGTCCCATTACAATTCACTGAGGACCCATTCTGCATCTATAAAAAATACAATACACCCTATATCCCAGGGGTGGGCAACCTCGGCACTCCAGCTGTTGTGGAACTACAAGTCCCACAAAGCATTGCAAGATTCTGACATCCACAGGCATGACTCCCAGAGGCATGATGGGAGTTGTTGTTTCTCTACAGCTGGAGTACCGAAGTTGCCTACCCCTGCTCTAACCAATGAACATTAGTAAACTACATCCTGCATCCCCATCACATCCTACATCCCCATGGACCTCAGAAGATAAATCCTCCATCCCTCCCCAGATCACACTTGGTCATTCGTAATAACAATACAGCCTGTCCTGTCCCATCATTCCGTGAAACCTGAAATCGCCTCTAATACCCCTTTATTAGGCTTCCAACCCATCACAGATCACTTTATGGAGTACAGACTGCCTCCCCTCCATCTATAATCACCAAGCCTGACCGTTTCCACATTTCTGATCATCCGACATCTTCTATCGAGGTGCTTCCTCCGTCACATATCACCCCGGATGTCATCCACTTATCATCATACAGATTACCATAGCAACCCTCCTTGTGCTGCCTTCATCCCATCAACAAGAGATCTCATCTCTGCCAAGGGCAATGGAGCATCCTTAGGGGTGTCCTGCACTCTGGTCCTGATGCTGACAATCTTCCCATCACATTGAATCTCATCTCTGGATGACAATACGGTCCACTATTCCAAAATGTCCCCTGCACTTTGTCTCCTCTACTCACAGAAAACATTCCTTCCCCGATCTCTGGACGGCAATAGAGCATCTGATTCCAGTCCTCCTTCTATTGACCCCATGACCCCCGTTCCAGATCACCTTCCATGGTGTCTGTGTTCATGACAATACGGCATTCTATTGCGTCCTTTATTACTGTACACACCGCCATCCCTCATCAGGCCTGACCCCGCACCCTGCGTCCTTTATTACTGTACACCCCCCATCCCTCATCAGGCCTGACCCCGCGTCCTTTATTACTGTACACCCCCCATCCCTCATCAGGCCTGACCCCGCGTCCTTTATTACTGTACACCCCCCATCCCTCATCAGGCCTGACCCCGCGTCCTTTATTACTGTACACCCCCCATCCCTCATCAGGCCTGACCACGTCATACATCATGCTATCCTCCTCCATGTACATTGATCTACTCTGCAGCAGGCAGACATGGTGGCCGGTGATGGCATGGTGGACCCGCTCCTCCCTCTCATACCCCACCCCCCCACCTCGTGCTCCTGGGGAACCAGAAGGCTCAGCACGGCGCTGCCCATAAGGACACGCTGGGACTTGTGGTCCCCCGTCAGCCGCAGATAACCCTCGCCCGGTCGTACCGTTCAGCGGTCAGTGCGGCCTCAATGGGGTGATGGTGGTCGGTGTGTCCGGTGAGCCTCCTTCCAGTATCAGGCCCAGAGCCCAGGCCTCTCCTAGCTGACAGCCCGAGTTCCGGGACGCATCCTCTCCTGCCAGTATCCGCCTCTGTCTGCTGCAAATGGCGATCTCCCCTCCCCGCCCACAATGCACCGCGCCCGTCCTATGATGTAATGGCTGTCAGAGCAACGGAGGGGGCATGTGACATGGAGGATGTGCACCGACTGGGGGGGGGGAGGGGGGTCATCATATATATGGAGGATGTGCACCGACTGGGGGGATAATCCTATACATGGTTGGTGTGCGCCGACTGGGATGATGTGGAGATATGAGCCGGGAGTAATGACAATGGTCTCCCATAGCCCGGGACATACATGTGCACTTACACATGGCACGGACTGGATGGACCTGCGTCTTCCTCACACATATGTACCATGTAACATGCATTGCTGTACATACAACATACCGGGATGAATGGGAATCTAAAGACAAATCTAGGTTTGGATAGAGTGGGGGAGTGTTAGAACCCCCTGTCATGTTTATATCGCTGCTTCTTCTCCCAAAGGGGAGATTTCCCATCACTTCCTGTTCCAGCCGCACAACAGGAAGTAGGTCATTGTAAACCACTTGCTGTCCGCAGCATTTTCTTACATGTGCACACACATGATAAAATCTGAATTTTTGGCTAGAAAACAGCTTCAGACCCCCAAACAATGATATATTTTCTGAAAGCAGAGGAGGCCCTGTAGAATTAAAAAGAATGCTAGTTGCAATTTTTTATGTCGCATAAATGTTTATCGAACCAGTATTTTTAGGATAAAATACACAAAATTGAAATTTAATGCACAGAAACATAATATAATGCCCAATTTTTTGGTAAAATATATGAGACGGGGTCAAGCCGGGTGAATAGATACCAAACATGTCAAGCCTTAAAATTGCGTGCGTCCGTGAAACCACAAAAAACGACAGTACCCAAAATTTCCCATAGGGGACACTTTAAACGCTTTTACCGCTCATCAGTTTAGCGCTAACAGTGATTGATGGCTCTAGAACTATTGCTCTCACTCCGACGCTCACGGCGATATGTAACATGTGTTGCACAATTTTTGTTTTTACACGTAGGTGCATCCGACGCGTGTTTGCATTCTATGTGCGTGTACGTGGGGGGCGGGGGACTTTTTGCATTTTTTATTTTTTTTGTTATTTTAATCTTTACATTTTTTTTTTACACTCAGCTTTATTGCTATCGCATAAAAGGCTAACAAGCCCCCTATGTGATAGCAAATAGGGTGTGACAGGTCCATGGAGACATCAGAGGTCCCTAGTGTCACCTAGGTACCCCAAAGAAGCTGATGAAACAGAGATCTGCTTTACCGGCTTCTTCTTCTGGCTCTAAGACCCGGAGAATGTGCCCAGTGACACCGGAAGTGATGTCATGCACATCACTTCCTGGTCCAGTGATCGGAGGAGAGATCCAGTGCTGGAAGACGCTGATCTCTCCTCCGATCTATCAGGGGAGACCCACCACACCGGTCTCAGGCTCATGGGGGACAGTGGAGCCCGGGAAGCCGATGGCGGAGGGGGGGGAGGGGGCACAGCACCGCACCGTACAAGAGATTTGGCTCCTGTACAGACGCCAGATCACATTCGTATTTAAACACCAGTCGTCGGCTGTTTGAAACGTTACCAAGAACACGGCTGCAGCAGTTCCAACGGAGGACGTACATTTCCATGAACCCCATGAAAGTGGTTAAGAAGGCTCAATAAAAACACGTTTTTTAAAATTCTGTCTGTATCCACATTGGAGGGATTCTTCATACTTTCAGATCTGGTGACACGTCAGGAAGTGAGGAGAAATCCCACCCGTGGAGTCACAGAAGTGAAATCTAACCCGTATCCATTAGGAAAAGTTTTGGCGTCATGATTGCAATACCAACAATGAGTGATCCTTCTTCAAGCAGCACAGCCCTCCACCTACCCCCCTCTCCAATCCAAGAATAGTACCACGTGCTGACCACAGCTTTTCTGTGTTGCTAACAAAATCAATAAAATTTATTTATAAAAAGCTTTGTTTTAATGGACAGGCAGCAGTGAGATCGCAAAAAATAAGATCCCGATTATACAAACATTTTATATATGGACAAGCAGTATTTAAAGGGAACATGTCATGGAGGCCGCCATTGCTGACCATTACTTGCCTAGATGCTATGTTAAAATCCCTGCAATACATTCCCTTCTTAATGCAAGACAGGACTCTGCTTGCTTTGTTTACAGCAGCCTGGCACTGCGCGCTGTTATTCAATCTGCAGCCGGATTTCTTCTCTCTGCTGCCCCAATGCCAGGTTCCTCAGGTCCCCCCATATGCAGGCTGTATACAAGTGATCTCTGCAACATTACTGGGATCACTTGTACAAAACAAGCGGCCGCTTCCCCGTTGTACATTTAGCTCTGCTTGCCCAAAACAGGGCTAAATGTAGAAAACAACTACCCGCTTGGCGCCCGGAACTGCATGTCCTGGGCATCGGGAGATAGTCATTCCACACCCCTGCTTCCTTGGGCTTGTGGGAATTTTGGCCCTGTATGGAGTAATCCAGCATGAAACAGCTCCTGCATTTTGCCTCTGTGCCCAAACTTCCTGTAACAAAGACTATTGGGTGGGATGGCTGGTCTTGTATCCGCCCCCTCCTGTAGTTTTCTACAGGCAGCCTGTCGCCGGGCAACCTCCTGGGTTCCTCCCACAGCTCTGCTCTCTGCACTGACCATTTGCAGCACAGTGATAATGTCATGACTCTTACAAGGCAATATCTGGGTTCAGGACCCGTTCACACTACATCCGGATCATCTCCAGACCAGACCAGATTGTTTACAGACCCAAAATGCATCCTAATGTATCCCTATGCTATCTCTGGCCTCTGTTAACACCAGCGCAGTCCGTTCCAGACCAGAAAAGTACTGCTAGTCTCATTTTCTCTGGTCTGGAACACATTGAAAAATGCATCAAAAACGCATACAAATGCACTGGGACACACCTGAAAGCCCATTTTAAGCAAAAAAAAAAACTGTTCCGGAAACGCGGCAAAAATGTGGCAAACCGCAATGCACCGTGTTCCAGATATGGTCCAGATCTGGTCCAGAAAATGGTGTGAACCTGGCCTAACAGAGGCATTTGGTACACACAAAGTGAATTTATAGCCTTTGTCGCTATTGAGGAATATATTTAAATAAACATTTTTGTTCCCAGAGTTCAGCCGGAGAAGCAGCACAGCGATGAGCTCATTTCTCTGTCACTCTGCTTTCCCTCCTATCAGCCTGCTTTTTGTCAGCACATGAACTGATTGGCCCCTTGCCAGGGGCGTCCCGAGGCCGGCTGTCACCCAGAGCGGAGAGCAGGTGACACCCCGCCGTGACGTCATCGCGCATGTGCGGCCGTCTAATTGACGCCTGCCGGCGACCATCTTTGTGATGGACGCCGGCAGAGAGAGGAGGGGACGTTCACCCGACGGGATGAGGTATGCCAGCGGGTCTCCTCCTCTCTCCTGACACTGTCGGGCTCTCAGTCCATGACCGAGTGCCCGACTTTTCAGAGGGGGTGACACCAAAATGACTATCTGTCATTTTGGTGTCAGCCCTCCAATGGTGTCACCCGGGTGCGGGCCGCACCCCCCTTGTGACGCCACTGGCTGCAGGTCAAATATCGGTACTTACACTACTTGAATTTTGAAAAAAAATACATTTAATAATATATTGAGGGTTCGTTCACACCATATGACAGTGCGTTCCGGTCAGAATCGGACCGGAAGGCACTGCCCGCATTGCAGTTGGCTCACTTTTTTGCCGGGCTGGAGGGGGCGTGGCTGCAAGCACTATTTTGATCACACCGGACCGCACTGCAGGCACAATGTGCCTTGCGATCCCGTGCGGGCGATCGCATTGCGGACGCAGGGCGTGGCTGCGGTGCCATTCACTTCAATGGCCCGCCACGCCACCCCTCCAGCCCGGCAAAAAAGTGAGCTGGCCACAATGCTGGCAGTGTGTTCCGGTACGATTCTGACAGGAACGCACTGCCCTGTGGTGTGAACGAACCCTAATAATGACAGAGCTGCATTCTTTTCTGTCTTTAATATCTGTATATGGATGAGTTTTAAACAGCAAAACTGGGAGTTTCTGATTCCGCAAAGTGTTGCGGAGAAACTCATTTAGCCCAAATCATTCCATTCACCTCTAAAGGACAATTTTCCCAGCGTAAGAAAAAAAGTACCAAAAAAAATGGTAATCGGCTACAATTCTGGGCAGTAGAGTTACTATTGCCATAGCAGCCCCATGCGTACCGCAGAGCCATCTACTGTATTAAAATGTCACCACATCCAGCCTGTCAGAAGCATGCGTCTCACATTCCAATCTGCTTCCGTGTGGGATGAATATAATAAGCCTAACAAGATGATCAGAATGTGTATCATCAGATGTGCTCCGTGAGCTCCTCAGACCTAGTGTAACATTCCACAACCATCGGATATTTATGAGGATGTGTCATTAGCGTATCAGCTGCTGCCATCTAATGTTCACCCACAAGCACAAATGGGGAGCTGACTGGAGAACAAATAAAACACATATCGCATACACTGATATCTTTTTTTTTTTTTTTTTACTTGCTTTCTCATATTTTTTTAAGACAGTACAGCAGATAAAAGAACGTGGACACCAAAAAGGCAACACTGGAAATACAGTACTACCCTCTCCAGGATAAATTAAAAAAGACATTGATTTTGTTTGCACAAGCAAAGAATTTGTTAAAGGAGAACTATGGGGTCAGGGCTTTTCCCCATAGTTCTCCTGAGGGTCGCGGGAGAACGCAAACTAGCGTTCTCCCGTGACCCAAAGCTCTGTATACCACGAGCTATGGCTCGCGGTATACAGAGACGCCGCAGCCGAAGTGGATCCCGACAATACTGTCTGGATCCACCCAGCTGCGTGAGTGACAGCTCAGCGCTGGAGGATCGGACAGGGGAGGGGGGAATCCAGTCCCTCCCCTGTCACAGTTCTCGAGAAGTGAGCGAACGCCGGTATGTGTTCGCTCACTTCCCGATCTACTGAGCCGACCTGTGACAGTCTCATTGTCACAGGTCGGCTAGAACTATGAGGTGAGTGAAAAGCACTCGCCTC